AGGTTTCTGTTTCAGAGTTTCTGGGGGAAAAAACCAGATTGTGTTAAAGGTATATCTTTGCACAATATTCCATGAAGTTGTAAAAAAAAACCCCTATGTAGCATGCAATTGGAACATGTAACAAAAAATTTAAAATCAATATAAAGCAAAACAAAAATGTTAATGTTACAGGGGAAAAAAATTAAATATGAATGGATGCAAAATTGGAACAGAACACAATTATATAATTTGGGCAAGCTTTAATTAGTTTACATTGTCTAGTACTACCAATTCGGGCAATTTTCTTACAATACTAAGAAAATATTCCTTTGTTGTGATTGAAATTAACAGTATAAACAGCAAACGTTTCTAAATAATGAAAGCTGACTTATTTCTGATTTCTAAATGATTTCAATTTACTTATGCCTTTCTCCTTCCACTTTACAAGTTGGTTTCTAAATGGAAGTAAATGTATCAACTTGACAGAAAACCTGCAAAATTAAAAAATATCCATTCACATTACTCTCTATCCAGCAATGCAAATGGATACCTGGTAGGACTCTCAAGCTTGGTCTATTCAAATAAAGTATTTGGAAAAAGTCATCCTAATCTACAAATAAAACAACTTTCCTATTTACAAGATATCTGCTAGAATTATTAACTTAAATCCTAGAAAACCTAGAACTTATTTACTTCTCCGCACCCGGGTACATAGGGTTACCATATTTATTTTGTTTATTATTTATCATAGTTCTGTAAACATATGATTGACCATGGCAGGATTGTCTATAAAGTACCTTTCAGTTGCCTTTATTAAACAGACACCATGGATGGTTTAGATAAGACATTGTGGAATAATTATAAACAGGGCCCTAGTAATTGTAAATCTGAAAGTAGTCGCTTCATGGACTTATCAGTCTTTAACAAAATGTAAAAAAAGGCACATTTTAAAAAATAAAAGAAACAACACTTACTCTGCATCACCTGCATGACAGAAAACTTGTACCGATGACGGCAATGGTGGCCATTCCAATACTTGCACAGGCCACGTCATGGACAATGGTATGCCTGGCAATCGAGCCCAATAGATATCTCCTGGATAAATTCAAATTTTTATTATTATTATTATTATTATTATTATTATTATTATAATTATTAATATTATTATTATTATTATTATTGTTATTCATTAGAGCTATTATTAATTACCTAACAGTAGATTACATATCTAATAATGAAAACAAAATAATTAAAAGAAAATGCAAATTTACTAAGGCCTATTAAAAAAAGTTATGTTGGCGTAATCCGACTGATGCTAAAAAATTGCTGATCCTAGACATTTTTATTTCAAGTTTGCAATACTACTTTACTAAAATTCCAACCTACCTTCCCTATAAAACTTTTTTTAGGCCTGCGTTCTAGGCCAAACTGTAAGACTTCATCTTAAAAACAAGATTATATTTGGGTACAATTCAGCACATACAGTACACCAACTCGGCCCTTGCCAACTCTGCCCTTTAGGCTTTACCAACTCGGCAGGGGCAGCAAATGTGGGGGCAAGTGGAATTTTGGGAGCAGGTCAAAACGGCAAAAAACCAAAATGGCAATAACCAAAACGGCAATGACCAAAACGGCAATAAACCAAAAGGGCAAAAATAAGTACCAAAACGGCAATAGACCAAACGGCAATAGGCATAGACCAAAACGGCAAAGGAGCAAAAATCAATGCCAATTGAATGAAGCGCCACCAGCCGTGGGCAGCAGTTTATAATTTTCTGAGTCGTGTTTTGTTTTTTGTTTGTTTTTTTTTTACACATCCATGACTAGGCCTATATTATATTAAAGTGTTGTTTATTATTATTATTTTTTTTCCCGTTTTTTACTTTCATGATGGCATAGTATTGTTTAGCCTCGTTTTATCTGTATTTTAAGGTTTTAATTATTTAAATGTTCACTGCTTTTATAACAGTTTTTTTACTATTGAATTGTATTGCATATTATTATTATTATTATTATTATTATTATTATTATTATTATTATTATTATTATTATTCTTTCTAGTGTTTTATTTTGCTTTCACGCTTTTTTACTTTTGAAATAATTGTTTAGCCTCATTTTGTCTGTATTTCAAAGTTTTAATTATTTAAATGTTTACTGCTTTTATATTGTGATCCCCAATCTTTTTACTATTGAATATGTATTTTGACCTATTATTATTATTATTTTTAGGCCTATTATTTTTTTATTATTATTATTATGATTATTATTATTATTATTAATGTTGTTGTTCTTTAGTGTTTTTGACTTCTGACAATTTAGCCTCATAATCACTGTATTTATCGTTGTAGCCTACACTTTCATGTTTATAATTGGTTTTAGGAATTAAGTTTTACTTGCCATTTTGGTTTATTGCCGTTTTGACTTAATATGCCTATTGCCATTTTGGTCTTGCCGTTTTGACTTATTGCCGTTTTGACTTTTTGCCGTTCTGTCCAATTTCCCCCTTGTCGTTCTGTCCAATTTCCCCCTTGTCGGACAGGCCTTTTCAATAATGATAATGTTATTGCCATTGATTAGGACCTAGGCCTATGTATTAACGTTTTACCCTTAATTATATTAAATTACATAAAAATAAAAGAAATTACACGAAAAAGCAGTATGAAAGGCACATGATGATGATGGTGGTAGTCCTACTATCTATGGGCCTACCATTCTACCACCGGGTCAGGGAGGCCTAGGAACAGGCAGGGACTAGGCCCCTATCCTATAGGACTAAGCCTAGCCTAGCATGATTGACATGTAAAAATAATAATCGTTTTTCTATCCTAGCCTAAAATACTAGAATTAGCCCCATCCATGGATAAACAAGAAATAAAACTTACCTTTTTTCCAATCTCCTGCATTTCGTAACCGTGAAGTCCAATAAATACCAAATATATAGTCAATTGATCTCTAACCATGAGGTATCATGTTATCTGATTTGCTTGACAGGAAGAAGGCAGCGAAACTGCCTGAGAGACAGGCAGGCATGTGCTAGGCTTAGGCGCACGGGGGTAGCTAAGCCTAGCTCTGGTGGTGATACGATTGTAGTATGATTATTGATAAAACTACTAAACCCAGGACATTTTGTATTTGAAAAGATAGTTAAGCGAGTACAAAATTATAGAGGGGGCTTTTCATTTAGAATAGTAAGACAAATGGTATGGAATATCGGAAAACCTAGCTAAATAAGGACATTTGAGGTGTAGGCCTAGGAGGGAGGGTAGACTCAGTAAAGGGGATTGTAGGCCTAGACTAAGTGAGGACACAAGATTTGACTTATTTTTTTTTGTCCTGAGATTAATAAGAAAATATAGGCGATTGTCCTCACATTGGTTTACCAGTACTGATATAGAGATTTCTCTTATAAAGTACAAGCTATGTTTTATAAAGAAGTATAGTATAGTAAATCATACTTTTAACACAGGAAACTCTCATATGTTAATAAAACAATGCTAGTCCAGAGTATTACTAGTAGTAGTGCACTGTCATGCATACCTATTTCATACCTACCAAGTCTCCCGCATTTGGCGGGAGACTCCCGCTTTTCGCCCTAACCTCCAGCTCTCCCGCCACTAGCCTAAAATCTCCAGCTTTTCTAATAATCTCAAGATTTTTTATAAAAACCCACAATTTAATACAAAAATATCCAAAACGTGACAATTCTGTAGTTTTATAAGGCATATAAAATCTACGAAAGTTCTATCGCTTCGCGAAAATACATGCCGTTCCGATAGTAAACAATGTATTCGTGTAAAATTAACACTGGTGGCGCTGTACACATTACGTCATTTCTATTTTAAAGAAAGCTAAGGGTGCAACTTGGGTATACAACCAGTTACATTCATCAAAAGAGAGCAAATGATGCTTCAGCCTCTCTTTTACACAGATCTCCTTTTCTGTTTAACTTGTTTTACCAAAAGAATTGTTTGTCAAATGTAAAACGTGTATTTGAGAAATTTTGTTGAAAAAAATAAATAAAGTTAAGAGTTTTAACACTGAAATAAAGCTATAGAATTTTATTTTTCAAAAAATGTTAGTATATATTACCCCATTTTTAAGATTTAATTTGAGCACTAGAGATCTGCTCAGAGTGCACCAGAGAACATCTAGGCCTAAAAATTTCCGGGGCCCTAGGCGGGCCCTCGACCCACGCCTAAATTGTTTCGTTCCTGTGCAAATCTCCATCCACAGCCAAACTCAAACTTTGCATGTATGCTATTTTAATACACTACTTTTAGGCTTTTGTTTTTCCATCTTGATCTCAGGGGTCAAAAACATTTTTCAATTTTTTTCAATCATATAGTGTTGTAGACTAGTCTTTTAAGAACATTTTGCTGGAAACATTTTTTTGGATACGATGCCCCGTCATGGAGCTATGATTTTTTAAATAACATATGTCAGAAAATCAGCCCAAAAGCTTATCTCATTTCTCACTGCTGATTCGCAATGTTTGTCATCACTTCAAGATGTCTACCAATTCGTGAAAAAGGCCTATGCCCTAATGAATTCATAAGAGTCATAATGCAAACATGTAATTCTTTACTGAGGGCTTGCCTTCTTGCAGTTTTTATCTTAACATTGACATCATCTATCATGCATAATTTTTCTCTTAAGATCGACATCATATGTTGTCAATGGAGAAACTGCAAGAGTTCCTCAAAAATCGAGGGCTGACCAGGGTCTTTGAACGATTTCAGGAAGATAAAGTGAATCGAGATGATTTTCTTACATGTTTTGTTTTATAAAAAGGGCCTAAAAATAGAAATAGAATACGCCTTTTCCACGAATAGATACACATCTTGAAGTGATGACAACACCCAAGTCAGTGGTGCGTAACTGACAAAAATGAGATAAGCTTTGAGGCCAGTGGCGGGGCCAGCGGGGTGGCAGGGACAAAGGCACCGGACAGGTCAAGCTCCCCCGCCGGACAGAGCTTGTCGGGCAGTCAGACCATAAAATATAAAAAAATAGGGCCACACAAAGCCAACACATGTCTGTCACCGTCTGAGAGTGCCATTTTAAGCCATCTAGAGGTTGATATTCTTTAAAAAATTCTCATTTGGGATTGGGAAACCCCTCTCAAACTCTTCTCCCAGCTCAAGCCTATGAGCTCAAGTCTAACCTGTCTGTTGTTTGTTACAATATCAAGTATAATGAAAGACACTAAAACCAGATTGTAAGAACTCAATGGCCGTCTGCCTGACAACCGATTCATTCGCAACTCAACGCTAAACAGCGCCACACGGCGGCTGGATGTGACAACAGGGAATAAGTTATGTACGTCATACAACATCTCCCTTTCTTTATTTTCTTTTAATTTTTTAATTTTTTGTTTTTTTATTTATTTATTTATTTATTTTTAAATTTATTTTGAACTATAGCATAATTTCTTGCATGTTTATGTGATCACAGTATTATAAATAGAACTTCTCTATATGCCTGTTTGCATTATTTTCTTATGTGCCGATTTGTACTTTCATATAAATTCTATGAGCCATCCTCTTTATGATGATGATGATGCTATTTATTTATTTATTTTTTTTTTTTTTTTAAACATTAACACGAACATAGGAAAAACTACAAAGTCCTTGAATCGATTTGGCATAGTTATGGTTCTTCTGGGCCGAGTTGGTATGATTGGTGTTAAAACTTCTGTTTGTTTTGCAGCTAATGGTTGCTGTTGGTTTACTGTGCTCTTGTCACTTGCTCCATTTGGTGTTGCTGGTACTGGGATGTCCGTTGTGGATGTGATATCTGATTTGTCTGGTCAAACTGTTGGCATTGTTTTAGCAATGTCTCTTGCTGGTGTTGTGCGTAGAAACTTTCTGTTGCGATGATAAACTTTGCCATTTGTAGTTTCTACTAAGTAAGAACGAGGTCCTACTTTTTTCGTGCAGGTTGCCTTCTGCCACTCTTGGTTGTTGTTCTCAGGCCGGAGTCTGACAGTGTCCCCAATGACAAGTTCTGGTAGCTTTGTTGCACTTTTGTCATATTGTAATTTTGACATCTGTTTTCTTTTCTTAATGTGTTCTGAGACTCCAGTAACTACTTGTGGTTGTAGAAGGATTTCTGTTACTGGCAAAAGTGTATTTGTTCTTCTAGACAACAGTCGTTGTGCTGGGCTGTGTCCTGCATCGTTTGGTGTGTTTCTCCAGTCGAGAATTGCAAGGTGTAGATCGGATCCTTCTTTCAAAGTTTTCTTGATCAGTTTCTTGGCAATCTTAACTGCTGCCTCTGCTTTCCCATTACTCTGACTGTGATAGGGAGAGCTGGTCACATGGTTGAACTCCCATGTCTTTGTGAATTCAGCAAATTCTCGGCTAACCCACTGTCTCCCATTGTCTCAGCAAATTCTCGGCTAACCCACTGTCTCCCATTGTCTGTGATCAGTGTTGATGGTATTCCTTGTAGAGCGAAATGCGTTTTGCTGCATTCAATGATTGTTTTAGATGTTAGATCTTGTAATTCATCCAGAAACCACACATCACTGTAATGATCTACTGTTACAAGGTAATCTTTGCTCTTATACGTAAGTATGTCTTGAGAGATTATTTCCCATGGTCTGGTAGGAATAGGGTATGACATCATTGGCTCTTTCTTCTGCTTGTCTTGGTAAGTGTGGCAGCAGATCTGGCACTTGTCTACTATTTCTCTGATGTCTGCTGACATTCCTGGCCAGAATAAACTGTCTTTAGCTCTTCGAATTGATGCTTCAGCACCCAGATGGCTTGAATGAGTCTTTTGCAACAAATTTTTTCTCATATCGGTAGGTACCATGATTTTCTGTCCTTTGAATAAGACACCATCTTGAGCTGTTATTTCTTCTCAATAATTAAAGTGTTCTCGAATATTGATCGGAACTTCTGCTTTGGTCTCTGGCCAACAGTTCTTGATCATCTCCATCAGTGTTTCATTCATTTCATTTCATTTATTTCGCCTTTTTTTTTTATCAATCATAACAATACAGTAAAATTTTCAGAAAATTTGAAAAGGTAATCCATGTTTCCCCAAGAGCCGGCAGGATTACCAAAAAGTAAAATTAATTACTGTTGGAGTGGCTCTCCAAGCAATGGGGGGAAACATGGACTAGCAGTATAAATACATTATAAAAATATATATATATATATAAATATGTGTGAAAATACAAAAATAATTAACAATTAAAATATGTTCATTACTTATATTATTATTGTTATTTTTATTATTACTATTACTATTATTATTACTATTACTATTATTATTATTATTATTATTATTATTATTATTATTATTATTATTATTATAACAACAATAATAATAACTACAATAATTTTAATTACAATTACCAGCATAATAATTATTATAAATATTAAACAATCACACAAACAAATAAAAAAGTACACAAAAAATTTGATCAGAAATAGGAAAACACCCACCCCCAAACCCTGCCCCCACTTCACAGACCAACAAACACTAAAAAGAGAAAATTAAGTAATTAGAGTTCACTTTTAGCTTGACTTGGGCATAGGCATATCTGAAATTCTCTCAGTTGTAAAAATGTTCTTTTAGCTTTCTGAGAAGTAAGTTAATGTTAAAGAGAGCAGCATCACGTACTTCAAGTGGAAGAGTTTCCCATACAATGGGAAAATAATTGAAAGCAGAGAATTTAAATGCATTGGTTCGGGCAAAGGCATGCCTAAAACGCAAATCATCAGAGTGTCTTGTGTTGATCTTAACAAATTCCAAAGAGTTTAAATCATACACATGATAAAGGCATTTACAAACAAAAGCTACAAGAATGAAATCGTATCTAGCCTTCATAGAGATCAAGTTAAATTTAACTAATCTCTCCTCATAGCTTAACACAGATCTGAGTTCATTTGGGATGCTCATACGAGTTGCTTTTCTCTGAACCTTTTCAATAGATTTCAAATGTCCAGCTTGAAATGGATACCAACTCAGTACTCCATACTCTAAAATTGGTCTCACGAGGGAGTTATATAATTTGATAAAGGCTTCGGAGTGATTGTATTTCAAAGTTCGCTTAATAAAGCCAAGAAGTTTCAGACCCTTGGAAGTGACATCATTAACGTGAGCACTCCATGATAAATTAAATGCAATGTTAACACCAAGGTACTTGTGAGTAGAAGTGAGCTGAAGGCAAGCCTCATTGATGTGATAACTTTTTGGAGATTGTGCTCGACTAGTTGATCGAGTGATTCGCATTACTCTACATTTGTTCGGGTTGAGGGACATTCCACACCCCTCGCTCCACCTACAAACATGGTCGAGATCACTCTGGAGGATGGCTTCATCATTAGAAGAGAAAATATCACGATAAAGAAGAGTGTCATCAGCGTAAAGAGGGATAGAAGATTGGATAGTATCAGGAAGGTCACAGATAAATAAATTAAAAAGAATAGGCCCAAGGACTGACCCCTGGGGGACCCCAGAGGTCACAGGGGCAACAGGAGAAGATTGACCCCGAAAAAGAACAGTTTGAGAGCGCCCAATAAGAAAAGAATGAAGCCACCTCCAGAGCGAGCCAAAAATCCATAATTATAAAGTTTAGCCAGAAGAGCGGAATGATCAACCCGGTCAAATGCAGAGCTCCAATCTAGAAACACTACGTCAATATGGGGAGGGGATCTTGAGTCAAGAATTGCAGACCAATGGTGAATCACTGACGACAAGAGAGTAGAACAAGAATGGCTCTTAATGAATCCATGTTGAAAACTGGAGACAAGCCCATTGTCTAACATAAATGATGTAATGTTGTCAACTACTACTCTTTCGAGCATTTTGCCTACAACAGAGCAGAGAGATATTGGTCTGTAATTCCGAACACAAGCTCGCTCTCCCTTTTTATACACTGGAACTATATTGGCATGTTTCCAATCGTCTGGTAACATACCTTTATCAAGTGAGATATTAAACATTTTAGATAATGTCTCACATACATATATAGCATAGAAGTTGTAATATTATCAGATCCGGGGGACTTCCCGAACTTCAATTTGTTAATCAATTGGAGAACCATCTGCGGTGAGGTTTGAATTGGAGGAACTTCATCCAGTTCAGAAGGCCTAATGTCAGTAGGGGAAGGAATGTCCTTGTAGGACTGGCTACTAAAATTTGAAGAGAAGTGTTCATTAAAGGATTGTGCAATTTTACTAGGATCGTCAGTATAAGATTCATTAATTTTCAAACATGTGGTTGTCGGCTTTGCTCTACAACTCCTTACATAAGACCAGAAGGCCTTGTTGTTTTTGGGGTTACATTTGTTTATAATTTTGGTGATGTAGTCACGATACAAAGACTTAATTAAGTAACATAGGTGATTTCTAACAGACTTGAAGTCATTCCATTTAGTCTGTGCATGGGGTTTAAGAAGGTTTTTAGCTTTAATTGCAGACCAGATTTCATTAATGTCTTCATGCAAAAAACATGGCTCCCAAGAGATGTTAGCGAATATGGATATAAAATAATCAATGTTAACCTGAGAGTACTGCAGAAAGTAACCGGGAGGAGGAGTGGGAGGATGAGGCAAGTATGTCTTAAGAGAAAAGGAAATACCAATATGATCACAACCTGGTAATGCAGAGTGTGGAAGACATTCGTTAATCAAATCAGGTCTATTAGTATATACGTGATCAATAATATTACCTTTTCCGTATAATTTATCAGTGTCATTGTATCTAGTTTTGAAGTTTACCAACTGGGTAACATCCAGACAATCTAGCTCAGAATTTAGCTTATTGTACAGAGTATTATCAAATTTATCAGAAGAAGGCAAGGCAATATTAAAGTCACCGGTCAGTATAACATCACGGTACTGACTAATATGTTCAAAAACACTATCAATACAAGTATGGAAGTTATCAAAAAAATCTACTTTACTATTTGGAGGTCTATAATGTTGTAATTTCGTATACGTTGACTCAACACAGACACTGGACTCACGTACGTCTAGTCTCTACGATACCTGTTTAATGAGTGTCTCAGCATATCTACATACTGTCGTACAATGATAATATAGAGGGCTCACTACATCCCCCGTTCTTTAAGTCAGATTATTACTGTCGTGAAATTATATTTTCTATTGAACATTAATGCATTAAGTATCTCCGTAGACCACTAATAATAACTATTCTAACAAACTCTACTAATACTACTAACTCTAACAAATGGATCAACCATATTGTTGTCAACATTATTCAGGACCTGTGACAAACTTGTCTGAATTGTAACATGAGTAATGGTATGAACATTTAGGATTACATGACTATTATGTTATGATTTATTTAGGTACATAGTCCTTCAGATACATTGGTGTCCTTATTATTCGTCCTGATCTTGTGCGTTTAGGAGTGTCGGCTTCAACTGTGTTTCCTTGATTTGGTTTATTTTGCTGATTTATGACTTGTTTATGTGCCTGTTTATTTGTTTGTGAATCAAGGTTTTCGTTCTGTGGTTCGCTATGGGTTGGAGTTTTGCCAGTATTGTGATTGGGTGCGTCTTCTTGTGTTTTTCGTAAATGTACGCGATTTCGTCTGTATGTCCCTTGTTGTGTTTCTACGAGGTAGGATCTTTCATCTAATTGCTTCGCTACCATCGCCTTTCCCCAATGCTTGTTTCCTCTCACTAACGGTTTCATTCTAACAACATCTCCTTCATCTAACGGTTTTAAATCTCTTGCTTTACTGTCATAATTCTCTTTCATCTTAACTTGTTTACGGCGCATGTTCTGCAACTCGTCGTGTAC